TGGAAATCTGAGATGTAGTTACTGGCCAAAGGCCAGCAGAGACGTTGGTCACTTGGATGTGTTTCTTCCTTCCCAGCTGCAAAAGAGTTTCAGCAAGGGAGGACTAAATTAAATGTGCCATAATGATTGGAAAAAATGAAAATGTTACCACATTACAGCAAAAGAAATAAGGCATGGACGTGCTTCTGAAGAGCTATTAAAAATACAGCACTTTCACTGTCCTTGTTTCCCACCACTTACTAATACACAATTCAGGTGACCCCTAATCCAGGGTGTACCCATAGCTGGCACTTCATGGTACTTTAGCTGAGAAAGGAGCAGTAAATATCCATGAGGGAAAAAAAAAAGCCATAAAATCACCTCACCTACTCTTCCCTGCAATTAATTGTGATGCAAATACTAATTTTCTTTCACTAATTCATCAAGAAAACCCTTGAATCTGAAAGTTATGAATGGATTTTCATGAAATTAAATTGCCTGACCATGGTGTAACTCTCTATTCCATTTCTAATCTGCTCTTAAAGCAAAGAGAGAGTGAAAAAAACAATTCTTGTAATCAATGTCTGCAGAAATGTTCACTTGTCCCATGTGCCTGGTGATGTTTTGTTAAAAAAATCATACAATTAGGAGCCTAGAAGATGTAGAAAAATGCATTTTGAGCTTTTTCACAATTTTCATGGTATATCCAACTGTCTCTACACGTTATTAGCAGGTTTTTTTCAGTGCATGCTATTAACCCAGTTGACTTCTTTTTTGTATCTGATATATAAATCTGCACTTAGCAATACAGCAGAATAATTTTCTGTGTGGTGCTCCTGTGATAAGGATAAGAGGATTTTTTTTATCATCATTATGGATGGTAATAATTCCTAGAGTGATACAGAGATATTGATCCACTGATCTAAAAAAAGCATTTTCCAAAGGCAGAGAAGCATTGCTACCCTTATTTTAAGGGACAGGATAACAGAGGTGATGAGAGATCAACTCACCCACGGTCAATACAGCACATCAGTGGCACAGCTACAAAACAAACTTGGGTATTTCTGGCTATTTTTGCACACTCTAGCTATCACTGCGTGGCTGTCTGTGCTGGCATCTGTGGTCATGTAGACATTACACAGCACTGGGAGTCAGGAGGTCTGAAAATTTCCTTAAGCCGTTTACAATAAGTGATTTAAAATCTTAATCATCTGAGGCAGTTCACTTCTGCTTTTTCATGATAATGAAGCTTAGCACATGATATCACAATCATGAATTTTTGTAAAGCATACTTAGCTCTTCAGAGAAAGTGCTGGATTAAACAACCCTGCAGGCTGAATCCTTCTCTTTGAATAATGAATATCGTACAGGCAGTGGCAAGCTTCTTTAGATAGTCCCACAAACCCCACTAAAGCAAGGGCCAGCCTCCATGGCTGCTGGGTTTCTTTATCTCTACAGCCAACAGGGTATTTCTATTTTTTAATACCTTCCGCAGCTAGGAATTACTCTCTGCCAGCCAACTAATTTCACAGGGACTATCCCAAAGACTTCAGAAAGCAATGCCTTTTGGTTGCTGCCTATTCTTGAAGCTGATCAAAATATAACAAGTTACAGGTAAAAAACAATGGTTATTTCTTAGGTGTAGGAGTGAATAACAATGAGAAAAAACATGACTCAGGGAAAAAAAATAATCTCAGTGTCTTTAAAATGCACTGCTCCACCAGTGGAGTTCTGTATCATTACTTTAGTCTCATTTTACAGCTGAGTTTCAAACAGCTGACAATAGGAATTTGGAGCTGAAATGCTGATGGTCCATTATCAGTAGTGACAGCAGTGGGTGCGACTTTATTAAAGTTCTGTCAACTCTTGGCTAGAAACTACAATAGAAACAACTAGTTCCATCTCTCTCCCTCTCTCCCTTTATCTTAGCACTTATATCACACTCATCACAAAGTGTTACATTTTCTCTTGATGCCACAGGACAGGATTTCTCCTTGCTACTGGCGCCACGTGGTAAACTAAACCCCTACAACTCGCCTGTGAGCTGACAGCAGACTGTTACTGTACCAGCAGTGAGGCTCCTGTTGTAGTGCAGACATGGTCTAAAAGTCAAATGAAACATTTATAGTTTTTACTTAGTAAAAAGAAAAAAAAAAAAAAAAAGGCAAACAAACAAACAGCCTGGCCCGAACCAAAACTGCTCTGCTGAGCAGTGTAACCTGGAGCTATTCCTTTTACCAGCAACTATCTGCTGGTAATGCAGATTACTTGCCTGAACCCCTTAACAAAGCTCAAAAGCTGGCCCAAATACCAAGGAAGATACTTTTTAAGCTCTTTTCATCCAGAGATCCCATGATGTGCACTTGTTTTGCAATTGAAAAGAGATGCCAAATAGAGTTTACTGGACCACGTTTCTATCTGACTGCTGTGAGCACTGAACTGAGACCCCAAAGGCTCTGGCATGGTAGGGTCAGTGTTTTCCTAAGACAGTGACTATTTTTCATTCAACCCTCTGTGTCTAGCAGGGAAGCACATCCAGATAGGTGCTGGGAAAACAAATACTGTTTGTGGCAAAGGGAATTAACATCTTGGAAGTGGAAACATGAATTAAAACTCATTAAGGATTGGAAGCCTTCACAAAGATTTAACTGTATAAATTCTCCCTCTTGCTTTAGTGAAACAGTTTTTCACCTTGCAGTTTTTCAGTCAAGCTCCCTCCACTGCAGATCTCCCTCAGCACTTTTCATTTCAACTGCAATACCAACCATTTTCCCAACACTTTGCCTTTGCTCATGGAGTGGTGGTTTTGTGAAGCTGATAAAAATCTGCCTGAAAACCTGGTTGGCGCAGCTGAACTCATTTTCAAGTGTGAACATGGGTGTGTAGAAAGCAATTCGAGTTTAACAAGGCATGATGCATGAGGGCATGATAGAATATCAGTCGTGATCATGACCAAAATGAACCCAACTGGCAGAGAGGATACAGCTCTGCTACGACTGCTGGTGCGTGACCTACCTGGACTGAGATCTTCAGTCTCCAGCACGAGAGAACAGCACATTAACTCTACAGCTGTGCTGGCCACCAGATAACACTGCCCTGCACGGCTTAGGATTCTCAGCTTCTGATTGTCGTGAGATCACTATTCGTGGCAGAACAAAACTACCCCATCAACCTCACTTACTCTGTTGGATTTCATAATTAGCTTTTTTATGCTGCTGCTATAACCAAAATCTGTTGAATAAAAGCAAGTGTGCAGTGGGACTTTTGTGGATCCCAGGAAAGATCCATTTCTTTGTTGGGTGATGCTGACAAGTCAATTAAATCTTTTTTGGGGCTCAAAACATCTGAAGAGCAGATCTTGTTATTTCAGCAGTTAATTAGCTCCTTTCCCACTTGTGTCTTCAATCACCCCTTCCCTGTGCTACTCACACAATGAAATCAGTGAAAATCAGAAATACTTATTTTGCCACAATGTTGGGTTTAGAAAGATAACGGCTTCACTCAATTCCATCAGTAAACATTCCTTACTAAGCTGCAAGAACCAACCTCAGATCTCTCCCCTAATCTTCCCCAAGGCAAAAGCAAGCATTGCAAGACTCTCCTTGCCTGAAGGGACTGCTGCATCCCGGCCCCAAAAGTCTGGGGATCACAAAGCATAAATGTAAGTGCATAATTTTCTTGGGACTCTCTATTTATTGCCAGAGTGTCTTTGCAACAAGTCCTTATTATTCAGAAGTGGTACAGTAAGTGCTTTCAAAGAGTGTAATGAAATATATGAATACCTGCACTTCCCTTGCTGAAATTTATAGGTATTTTAAAGAAACTGGGCAAAACAAAACAAAACAAAACAAAACAAAAAACCCCATACACGAATACTGTGGATCCTATAGCCTACTGGAAACACGTAAATCCAAAAGCAAAGGAAGAATTCTAAATCTATACCCATGTCTATGTGCAAAATGGGTGCTATTACTTTTTTCTGTGCCTTTTGAAAATGTAATAAAATGCATAAACTGTGCTTTCTATTTTTTTTTTCCTATGGAAGTGATGTTTTTCACAGCTCCACACTTTAAAGTACTTTATGCCCTGTGCCATTAAATGGCTGTGGCAGGTACCACAGCATCCTTCTGCACTGACAGATGGGACTATTTTTATTTTCTTTTCCACTCAGCAACCCCTGGCACCGACATTTTGAAAAGGTTCACGCTCTGAGAATAAATTCAGGTCCACGTACCACGGAGTTAATATGCACTCTGGGTCATCAATATAGGTTTATTTTTCTTTTCAATATGTTTTCAAAAGGCCTCTCCCCAAAAGGCACTTTTGCACTCAAAAGGGATCACTGGCTGTTGAAGTCTGTGCTGCATTTCATTTCCAAGTTCAAGTCGCCCACTTGACCACTCTTGATGGTGCTGCTTAACATCTCTCCCCTGGTTTTTGAGTTGTGGTAGAAGCACAAGATTTGAAATCTCTTTTTACAGACTTTTGTCCAGGCAAAGCTCTCAGGTTCAAGCTAACCTCTTCACTACAGCAGACCTATGTTTTGCATATAGTTACAGAAAACACAGGAACAGAGGAGATAGATAGTGCTACAACGTGGGCCAGTTCTCATGACCCTTTATGCCTTTAAGCGGTCATTTACAGTCCTGTCTTTTTTTTTTTTTTTTATATATATTTTTATTTTGGCCTTGTGCTACAAAGCAGAAATGGGGTCAGGGAAGCAACTTTGATTTTGTGAGAGCAGAAAACTGAGGGTGTTTTCTCAGGGTGCAAAGGAACCTTTCCAGCTGACAAACAGGGCGATAACACAAGTTAATATGTTGGCACCGAGACCTTTCTGACACTGGAAATAAAAGGTGATAATTTCAGTCACTGTGAAAAGTTCATGTGGATAACTTCATCACGTGGGACGTATTACAGCATAACCTCTCGCTGCAGACAGCGGCTCTGCCTACCTTGGCTGTGACATATAGCTCCCAATTAGCACTTAAGGAAAGAGACTTTACAGGCTGCACACTCACCTCTGCTCAGCCCATCCGGTCCCCGAAGGATTCGGCATTCTTCTATCTGGCCGAACGGAGAAAACATCACCCTGATATCATTCTCATTACACTTCTTCGAAACCATTCCTATGAACAATTTTCTGTCTTCCACAGCTAGAAGATAAAAATAATGAATGAGCAAAGGCCATTTCATCTTTTTCCTGTGATCAATGCTTCATTACCACATCAAACCAAGCTCCAGTCATGTGAGTCTGGCTCTGTAACTGAAGACAAGTCCTAAGGCAAACACTTTATACTTACAACCTCCCCTCCCCCATTCCCACCCCAAATATCTCGGTTTTCTTTCTCTCTCTCCTTTTTCTAGTGGTGCTTGCTGTTTAGATAACATATTAATTGGCTGTCTTAGTCACTCTGCATACGCCTCCCCATAACGGTTCCTAAAAGAAAAGCACTCTCTGTTAGAGAGACTTTTAAAGATATCTTTGCATAGATTCTAATTCAGATAAATTCCCTCACCCCCCTCATGTGTGAAAAAAATCATGACGGGGTGAGGGTGAAGAAGGGATTTTGCGTGTAATGATACGAGCTAATGAAAAATATTCCCGAGAAATGTTTTGAGAGAGCAGCCCCTATGTGAGCTTTCAATTTCTGCCAACTTAATGCACAGCACTGGAAAGGCAGATGTGCAATGACTGCTTTGGAAAAAGAACGCGTTGAATTTTTCTGCTGGTTTTTTTTTTCCAGACTGGCACAGCCCTCTCCCCTTCAGGAAGACACAAGGCACATATTCCTGGACATCACTTGAAGACCCTCAGATTCATAACGATGCTGAGTTTGCAAAAAATACCCCTGAAAAAGCTGCTTTACCTGAAGTATTGGTAAATTATTTCCTGCCTGCGCTGTCACCAAAACCAGCACAAGCTGGACTGCTGCAGCAGGACGCACACAGTCCTGTTAATCAAATTCAAATTTACAGGTCTAAAGCTGGGGACTCTTGTCAAAAATGAAAGAGGTCATCAAAACTTAATTCACTCTGGAAAGACTTAAAAATGTTAACGCAACCATCCATCTATATTAAACCAAAAATCTAAAGTGCTTATTATACAGTGCATATACCAGTGCTTTCTTCTTCTCTGGAAATGGCATGTAAATCCAATTCCCTGTTAATGAGCAGACTGTCAGGGTTTGTGGGGAAGCAAAGAGAGGAGGAAAGCTTTACTCCAGAGAGTCTGCACTGCACTTACTTATTTCTATTATTGTGCAAATTATTTTTGTAACGAAGTATTTTCATTTCTGGGCTTACAAAAAAAAAATAATGAATCCTCCCTTGCTCTCCAACTCTGTCTCCTGTATTAGTACGAGTCTGTCAAATGGAATAAATTGCAGTTGGCGAAGAAGGAACTGCGTCCGTTTTTTCTAGGATCTTATTTGTGTTATACTTCAACACTTTCATTGCATTTAATAATTTCAAGAATAACAAGAAGAGGTTCATGTTTATTGATCATGAGAAGTGTTTGAAGTAATTTTCTCCTTAAATCGCTGACTTTAAAAAGTATTTGTAGCTTTTATGCAAGCAAGCACCAAAACCATGCATTTTTCAGAATCCAAAACAGAGACCAGCCCCTGCAACCCCAGCTTCTCACTCTAAAGGCTTGCAAGAAAATTGGCGTGAATTTAACACCCAGGGGAAAACGTTTTCCTCAGCAGAGATTCCTCAAGACTGAACATTTTCATTCACACTTTATATTGAGGTTCCACATGCAGGTGAACCCTCCATAAAGGGTTAAAAAATGATGAATGCACGGGATGAGCCAGTTATGTACAGATCAGGAGCTGAATATGCGTGATTGCAAATAAGACCTACAAGTTGGGATATTTTTATATGTATATATTTATGTCTTATTATGAAACTTTACATCTGATTCATAATATGTAACTGACCTTGATGTTGCTAATAATTATTTTAGGGATGGAAAAACTGAATTGCCTTGCTCACAGCTACAAGAGGAGTGTAGGCAGCCAGTTCTGCTGGTGAAAAGATGCCTGTAACTTGGCTTTTTACAATTCCTATACTGCACTGGGCAATCTTTTTGAGGAAGTTCCCTGGCCAGCCTGTCCCCTCAACTACAGCCAAAGACTCTGGGCAGGGTGCAGGAGAGGTTTTGAGACACAAGACCCAGCTGGGCTGCCCCGACTGGGTTTCTCCGTATCACAGACTGAGGTCAGGCTGGGGGAAGCCTTGGTGCCAAGCACAGGTCCAATCACTGCCTTCTGCTCTGTGCTATGAACCTCTTAATTTCTGTGTGTCAGCTAGCACCAACCAGTTTAAACTTGGGTTGATTTTAGGCTTGAAATACAGTGTGCAGGTCTCCCCCAAGGGTGACTAGGTTCCAACCCTCTTTTAAAAACAGCTGCTGGCTAAGTTGAACAAATGCCTACCTCAGCATCCCAAAGGAGGTCCCTTGGGTCCTGCTTTGGTGTCAGGACAAAGACTCAAACCAAAGAGGTTCGCATGGAGGTTCAAAAGAAATGAGATGCAAACAGAAGGCTTTGTTTTAATTTTCCAAAGAGTAGCAAGCGACAAACTCCCCACCGGCCTCCTTCGGTTTCGCTGGTAAACCTATAAATATGCCATTTAACTAACATGATTTGCAGGTTTGCTGCTTGAGGGTGATTTTATAGTAAATTAAACATCCAGCTCCTGTGTACTGTACATCTTAAAAATGCAGATTTCATGAGAATGCTCAGAGTACAGAAAACATATTGATATGATGACGTGCTCTGCATTCAGTGCCATTAGTCAGTGCTGATCAGTGTTGAAGCTTAAGAAAATTGCTATTCTTTTTTTGGCTAGGGGCCCAGCATAAAAAAAACATTTAAAGTGACAATTGTCAAGATCAAAATGACATGTTTTCACTCCATCTGATAGAACATCTGATATTATTAGGCTGAGAGAGTTTTTAACCATATATTCTCACACAGAGAAAGGAATGCTTTTCCACCTCGATAAGACTGACTGCCGAGATCCGTTTCTGCATTTTGGGTCAGCCACTTCTCTCCTTTCTTTCTGAAATGAATTCTTACCTGTCAGGCAGGCAAGGTTTGAGAATCAAATAGACAATGGGCTGCAAGAAGTGTGGGGTCAAGAGGGGTTAGAGGTTAGCAAACTTTGGATCTGCGAAGCCTGAGCATTTTCCCGTGCATGTTGGGTTGCTCCCATGGACTGTGAAATGAGGAGCCCAACATTAAACACAAGTGACCCAGCAAAGTGTTGAGGTCGGGACAGGTGCTACCTGCTGCTGGCTGGGGAAAGGATGGCACTCTAAACCCATCTCACCTAACTTCAGTCACCTACAGCCAAGAGATCAGCTCCTCTAAAGAGTGACTGATCTCACCTCTCCCAGAAATATGGGATGGGCTGTGCCATGGGACTCTCTCCCTTGCTACTGGCAGTAGATAGGGCTGTTACCTTCCAGCCAACTCCCAAATCTTGGTCATCATGATAACACTTACATGTCCTGAGCTCCAGCTGCAGGGACAGAAGGAACAAATGAGTTTTGAGGGACTGGACAAAGACTGGGAGCTGTAAGCGCTTTGGGCAATGATAGCAGGCCAAGAGGAAGGCTGGGCAGGGAAGGATAACAATGCACAAGGGTCAGTACCTGTGTGCACATATCTCTTAAGCATTTCACTGCTGGTTGTTAACTCTCTCTCCCACACTTGGAGTAGGTTTCAATAATTCAAAATCCATAAAAATCAAATGTGTTTTTTTGGTGAGTGTTTGACACCATTATTTATGAACCTTGCTCACAGGCTTAGTTGAACTTTCTGACTATTTTGTACCACTGTGTGAGAAGGAAGTAGATACAACCATTAGGAAGCAGCTGGTAGGATGGGGTGGCTGAGTACCCCTCCTTGATGGAGCAGAAGTAGCCAGAAGGTCACAGTAAACAAGACCTGAAGTTCTAGTTACGGGAAGGAAGGTGTGAAACTACACAGCATCTTGATTAACACATCACGGGGTTCACCTTTAATCCATCCCAACATATTACAAACACAGGTTAGCTGTGCTGCCAGGGCAGTGGGAGTGACAGATCCAGTGCTAAGCCTGCTGGATTTGGGGTGGGTTTTCCCAGAATGCAGGAACCCTGTGTGACGAGGGGCAGATACCTGCTTTAAATTGAGACGAGATGCTCTCGTAATTCCACCAAGACTAGCTCTGCCACCACTAGCACGGGTGCCTGGGCACTGTGTTTGAACCCAGAATGCTGCATTAGCCACCCAAGGTTATAGCAGATGAAGCCTCTCCCTGCTGGGGGCGGATTTTTTCAAACTGAGCCTCCTGTCTCCTCACAGCACTGCATCCAACGTGCAGAATAACATCCTGAAGGGTCTAATTTTTTAGCTTTACTCAATTTGCTTCGGTAATGAGCATTTCTTGCAGGCTGTATTAGATCGCTTGTGCTAACCCAGGAGAACAGAGGAATAGAGGTTATTTTCTGAATGCTACAAAAGAATTAAACCCTGTAATAATCATGGGAAATCTCCCCAAAGATTTAACAAACATTTCTCTCTTCTAAACACTCAAAATTCTGAAAAATCAAAATTATAACCCTTTATTACACATTTCTGAGGACTCCAGTCAGATAGAGTCCATTTCCTCCCCTCCCAGAAGTTGTTTTCTCTTTTGAGCAAATCAATAAGCAGTTAATTATGTATAAATGATGGGTTTTGTGGGGTTTTTGTTTTTGGTGTTTTTTTTTTTTTTTTTCCCCCAGGCAGAAGGGAAGAGGGGAAACCAGACTTTTTATCCCTATCTGTAAGCCTGTGAAAACCCCTTGCATACAATCTGTCAAAATCACACCTGGATCTGGAGCTGCCTGCATTAATTATCAACTTTTCTATGTGTTAGTGCTAACATATGGCATATAATTACTCGCATCCAAATCGGCTAAGTTGTGCCACTTAGAGTTTCAAAATTATTTTTTAACTTTTCACTAATAAAATAAATAAAAATAAATTATAAGATTTCTCAGCTATCCTCCTCCCTCCTTTTAAAATTTTTTTAAATAGAGAATTTTGTCATTTTCCCTGGAGCAGTGATACTCTGATCCACTTCAGAGCATACTGTCCGTGAGATATGTGCCTGAAAGTATGGACTGTGTTCAAATCCAGATCCAAGACACATTTAAGTATTTGCCAAGTGGTAGCATGTTAATGGCCACAGACAACTCAGAGTCAAGTAGCTGTTCACGTGTTTTTCGGCATTAGAGTGCAGGAACCCCCTTTGTTTGAAAAAAGGGAAAATGTCCTTAAAAGGATAAATACCGTGAGTGAGTAACAGTCAACACTAACCTAGTAATGGTGGAGCCTTCAAAGTCAAACCTATGCTTTTCTGGAAGATAATCCTTAAACAAAACTTTGTAGATAGGTTAAAACAACCACCTAGCACAAAGGTGGTCAAACTAGACCTAACTGGGTGATCAGACCAGGACACACTACAAAATTCATCATCTGAAAATCTTTGAGAGATGTTACATTTCTCAACAATAGGAAGCCTTTCAGAATACTCCTGGGTAGACATATTAATTAGATCTAAAGGCAAGTCTTGCCCCATCAACTCTAAATGCTAAAAGCTTGACGGAAGAAATTAAGCTTTGCTTCATCTGCACGAGCAGAGAAATGACTCAAACACATTATACGCAGAGGGAGGTAATCACTGGGACAGGTATCCCAGAGAAGATGGGGATGCCCCATCCCTGGAAGTGTTCAAGGCCAGGTTGGAGGGGGCTCTGAGCAACCTAGGTCAGTAATATGTGGGCAGGAGGTGGCTCTTCCATACCCATCTCCCAGGTTCCATGAGGTGAGCTTTGTCTTTGGCGCTAAGGGACAGTGATGCACACACCTAAGGACAGGAACAGTGACAGAGATGGAGGAGCATTTCATCCTGGTATTCTCTGGCTTGGATGCTCATTCAAACCTGTTTAGCAAGGGACTCAACAGAGGGAGGGTACATATCACACAGGAAATACTGTTATTTGGAAACCTCTGTAAGTTGAACGAGAGGACCTCTTCCTCCTCCCTATGGTTCTTGAATGGGTCTATCAATCCTTCACAAACATGTGCAAGCTCAGAAGAACTGTAGTGAGTGTTTAACTTCTCCTGCATATCTGTTTACAAGATATCTGGAAATTCTGACCAAAAGAATTTTATTAACCTCTTTGAAAACGGACTAACACCACTTTACCTACAAAATGTACTGGGATCCTCCCATGACTCAGAAATTAAAGGATTTCAAGTATTCCTCAAAAGCTCAAACACCACGGATCATGAAAACCAAGATGCCTTGGCATGCCTTCTTTCTTTTCCCCTTTGAACTCACCAATCTGGTTGAAGAGATACAGTTTACAATTTGCTGTTGGCATGGATAATATACCTCCTCAGATGGATAGCCTGAGGCATAGGGAAAACACGTGCCAAACAAGCCTCTACATCCCCCATGCTGCTGTTCTTTCCCCTTCTGGATCTCCAAGCTGCTTGCAAACTGTCACCTACTCCATGAACCCCATGCCTACGCCATGTCTTTCTGAGGAGCAGAAATACTGCATCACTGCAGTATTAGCTTGCCTTCTGTTTCTCCGGTCAATTAAAAAAAATTAGTTCACCACCCCTAGGACATGCCTATCAGAAGTTCCTACACCCTCTAGGAGTCTAAATTTAAAAAGGTTTTTAATTTGACAATTGGAACCTCTGATCTGACAATTTGTTTTCCCCAAAATACAAAGAAGGCAAGAAAAAAGAAGCGAAAAAAGACAATCCCTCATGATTTTCATGCTTGGAGTAGGTGCCAGAAAATAAGCGAGTATTCCCACAATGCAGACAGGAGTTTCATGCAGATAACCCTGGACTAACAGCAGCAGCCAGGAGCCAATGTTACCCTGCTTTTCAAGCAGGTGCTACTTGCAGAGTAAGACAGAATTTGCACAATTCCCCATAGTGTTTTGCCAATATGTTCAATCTCCTTTAGAAAGAAACACTTCAGGCAATGAACAAGTAACTCACTGGGAGTCAATTTTGGCCCATTGCCTCTTATTTTTCCAATATACCCAGGAAATTGAGGTGAAATTTGTCTTTGAAGGAAGAACCCATAGAGGCCACACTTAGTTCAGAGGGTTCACGCCAGTGTTCCTGTGCCTAAGGGGGATAATTGTGCCCACTTCTAGCACTAAATACCATGGAGTGGAATTTGGATTTGTTCTCCTTGACTGCAGTGGTGCCTGAACAGTTCAGTCCTTCTGCCCATGCTGGTGCCTTGGCCTCCATTCTAAGCACTCAAAGACAGCAAGAAATCACTGCTAACATCTATTTGGAAAAGGTTCTTCACCCAGAGGGTGGGGGTGTGCATTGGATCAGGCTCCCCAGGGAAGTGGTTGTGCTACCAAGCCCATCAAAGCTCAGTGAGCATTTGAACAACACTCGCAGGCACATGGTGTAATTTTTGGGATTGTCCTGTGCAGGGCCAGATTTTGATGATCCTTGTGGGTCCTTTCCAACTCAGGATATTCAATAATTCTGTAATTCCAACCTGAGAGAGAACACCCCTCCCTTACAAATGGGTGACGGCTCGTATTTCCTGTGCTCACGGCCACTTTTGTTTGGAAAGTTGTTATAATGGGAAACCTAGCATAATGTGAAGTTTTAATTTCCTTCCAAACTTCCTAATCCTTGGAGGAGCCCGAAAAAGGGTTGCACTACAATTAGCAAAAAAAGAAGCCTTTAAAAAAAGCCTTGCGGGGAGATTTAGAGCCCAATCATAATTTACATTTGCAGGTATGCAGATCTCTAAGTGCACGGCTTCTGCCCTGATTACTAATTAATGAGGTGCAAAGATGCCTGTTGGAGGAACCAGCTCTGATTATGTGGGCCTTATGGGAAAATGAAGCTCTTGCAATCTAAGAAGGCAGATGATATCTTTAACATATATTTTAGAAAATTACAGGAACAAATCAAGGGGCAAAATATACACATGTATATATTTTTAAAGAATCACACCCAGCCAGGTTGCGTTACCATTCGATTATCTTATTTCCTTGAATATATAAACCTGGCATGTTTAATAGATTTAGAATGCTGTCTGTTTTGCATGTCATATACATCCACTTAGGCAGTACCCTGGTATTCCAAATGGATATTACTGTCTTTATAGCATTCATTTTTCAATCGTTGAGAGGAATAAGTATACAGAGAGCTGCAAAGTGGGTTTCCCAGTTCATAATGAAGCATATGATTAGAACCTAAATTTGGCTCAGATTCAGAACAGCATCATTCTATAAAAAGGTAGTTTAGGCAAATGTTTAAGGCTGATCATCTGCTTATATAGTTTGTTAACACAGGAGTGGTTTTTTGTTTCCTTTTTTTTTAAATTTCACCATTAAAATTTCACCTCCATCTTATCAATATCAGGTGCTCCCACATCACCTTGCTGTTAGGAGAAGCCAAGGGAGAGATGTATGCAGTGAGGTGAGTCGTGATGTACAGGACGTACAAGGAGGACCCTTTTTGAGAACATTTCCTTCCTTCTTCAAAGCAGAAGATAAAAAGGAGTTCAGAGCAGCTCAATACCTTCCCCAACACGTCAGGTGTAGGGAAACTACCTCATATAATTTTCACCACACAAGGACTAAAGCAAAACCTCTCACAGTGTTGTGCTTACTTTAGTTTAGAGAGAGTCATAATTAAATAAAAATAAATTAAACACGTACCATTTGACTTTTCACTATCTGCGGGTTTCATCTGAATAGGATGATGCATCTAAAAACAAAAATGAAAGAGAGTAAGGCAGGTTGGATAGTCATAAAAAATCAAGAATCATGTTTTTAATGAAGGGCTAAAAGATACATGATTTCATCTTAAACATGTTGAAATTATATAAATTTCAAAATGACACTGTATTATAGGCTTTCAAGAAAAAATAAAACGGTAAAAGAGCATTTTATAACCATGAAGATTAAAAAAAATAGATCACTGGGCCCACAGGACTCCTATAAATCTTTAATTTGCTGTATCTAGTTTCAGAAGACCTCAAAGTTACAGCCCTCATTAGTTTATGGCATGCTTGGTTTCTGTTTTACCAACTTTTTTTTCCTTGAGCTCAACCACTGCCAAAATCAAGTTGGAATTTTCAAGTAATTTAAGAACTAGCAAGCATTTCAAACTTACTCTGAGGACTTGAGTTTGACAAATGAACTTTGCTTGTAAATAAAAAAAATGTGCTGATTCTTCTAGGACTGAAGAGGAAGAGAATCTTGCTTCTTGCAACAGTTTCCTATAAATGTTCATTATTTCATCTTTTTGTTTTAGAGTACATTATACATTCATTCATAAAGTTTCCATCACAACATGGAACAATTCTGGCTTCGATAAAAACTCCTAATCCTTTTTTCTTTTCAACCTCTTCCTTCATTCATGTCCCTCTTACTGCAAAGGAGACCTACCCCTGTGTGCAGCATTCCATCCTGAACATCTCATGGCATCTTAATGGTGTGTCCTCAGCTTTCTCTACTAAATGATGCTGCTCCCACACTCGTTGATAACTCCAACAAAATTTTTACAGATGGTGCTTTTGTTCTTTCAGGAATAGCAACAGTCGAGCTCCCTCTGTTTAGAGTGTGTGGCTTTTCCATGGACATTGGTCATAGCCAGACACGAGGCCACTGTGGTGTACTCAGGGAAATTTTGTTACAGGTTCTCAAAAGCCTTCAGAACTGACCTCACATTGAGATTCAATGTGGGAGATTTTTAAGCTTGCAAAAAACCCCACTTTTATTTTCTTTCACAGCATCTGCATAGTTGCTGGGATTTGACTGCACAAACCTCCTGGCAGCAGCAGGGCCACTGCCTTTTCTCTCCTCAGCAATTCTTTACCAATTCACGTGAGCAGATAAATAAATGTGTGCTCTATCTGCTTTTGTATCATTTTTCAGTGCAGCAGAGCTGAGTATTGCCTGAAAATGTCAGAGGCAATTCCATTTTTTTTTAATAAAAGACCATCATGACAAACTTTGGGAAACAAAAACAGCTGAGCAGGAGAGAACATCCGTGCCCTCATATCAAATGTGCTTTCAAAGCAGCACAGAAACCCAAATCCGTATTGCCTTTGGTGGAGTCACTTAGCCTCCAGGGAAAAAGATGCTGGATTCTTTAGAAAATATAAAATAGAGCTGTGAATGTTTCTGTGAGATTTACTCAAAGTCCAGAATGCTCCCTGGCCCTGCAAATCAATGCGTTGCCTGTGCTGCTTGCAAACTCCCCACTGTGCCCTAAGGAAAAGGCAAAGCCACAAGGTAGATGTAGTCGCCAGGATGCATAAATTTGCTTCAATTCTAACAATTCTGTTCTCTTTGAATCATTCATTTCCTAAATGGACCTTAATAGCCCAGCACTTTTCTGCCACTCTTACTCGATCAAATTTATAGGAAAAAGGGAATTTCTATCGTACTCTGTCTTTAGTGCTTAATGTTTACCCCGAAATCAACAATACACTGGGCACTGCAGGAGACTTAAAATTCATGGGAATGTGATGCAGCATGTCCACTCAGCAATCCAAAAGAGAAAGAAGAAAAAAGGTGTAACTTGCTCCATGAGCCCACTGAGGTTACTGATGTCTCTGAGGAGCAAAGGAGTGGTGAAAAAACTAGAGGAAAGGTAAGTACTGTAAATTTCAGGCCTTTTGTAGATGCTCTTTTTAGCTGCATTTATATGCTCCAAAGAGGAGATATTTTGAATAAAGGCAACTCTAACAATGTTAAAAACCTCTCACTTCTGAACTTCTCAAACTGCCTGAACTAGAGAAGCCAACTTTAGACTGAATTCATGTGAAGAAGTTATTTTTGCAGCCCATGGTCACAACATAGAGATCAGTGTTACCCAACAAAAACACTTATTGCACCCAAAATCATCCTCTTCTGTCACACATAATTACCCCAAGTTCATTATGTCAGTAGTCTGGTACATTCAGGAAGCAAGAAGCAAGATTTAACAGGATGCTTCAGTTGGGTTTTGACTTGATTTCAAAGGCTCCTGCTGAAAACTCATAGTCCAAACTCCCTTCACACCAGCAAGCTGAATTCGGGAGTAACGTTGTTGTGCTTAAAATTATATTGGTGCAAAATCAATACAAGATCCAGCTCAGGCTTGGAGAGCTTAAACTGCAGAACACCCCCGGAAAAAATGGATGCGATACACAAACCCGGTTTCAGCGAAGAGGAAGGTGGAAAAATACCTTCCTGACAGTTTCCTAACATGAGAGGGCTCATGTTGAAGCTTGTTTAACCCTGACCATCACCAATTGATACGTTAACAACCTTTAACACTAGATTCAATAAAACATGCCATTTATAACCTGAAATGGGTTTTACAGAGTCACTGGTTCGCATCTCATTATTAAACTCATTGCTGACCTCTAGAGACAACTGCCGTGACAATACATATTATAAGCTCTCTACCCATAAAATATTTAAAGGTAGGTGTAAAAAAGAAAGGAAAAGGAAAGAATGACTCTCAAAGAAGTGTGCAGTGAATAAGAAAATTAAAGGGGCAGAGACAAAAGCTAAATAGTTACCATCCTTTCACTGTACAATGAGCAAAAGAGAAAATAATCTGTGCGTTTTATATCTTCCTTGTATAACTGCAGGCTATAAAAATAATAAAATAGCTGCGCTTTCCCAGGCCCTCCAAAAGATTATAGATGATATAAACCTTTTTCAAATTAGATGCCACTCACTAGAATCATGTCATCTACTGAAATGAAGGATTTCATGTCTTATCAGAAAGCTGTTATTGTAGCTATACATCACTTATGGATCTCAAGGTAAGTGATTTCTCAGTTTGTCATGCTGCCACACAGAACAACAGGACACACTTTCTCCTTTGCTTGAAAAAATCTTTGTTTAAGAAAACACGGCATTTATGAATGCACAGTTGCAATTAATAAATAGGCAAGAGCAAGAAAAGTAACGACAGCAAATAATCGAGAGACTTGAACACTACCCTGTGCTCAAACCACACAATAAAAGAGAGCAACACAGCTCTCAGGCAAGTTCTTTCTGAGCGTGGGCAACTTCCCCTGGCAAGCACTGTGCATGGGGATATCACACCCAGGCTGGAGTACGGGCTGTAAGGAACACCCTCTCCTTGTCAATATTATGGAGAGCTCATAGTTGTGCAGCAAGGACAGCACAACCCACCTTTCCTACAGGCACTCTCTGTCCACAGGTCTCAAAACACACCATGCCACTGTTTTACAACTGAGAACAGGCAAATGCCTGCTGCCCAAGGTCGCTGGTGCCTTGTGGCAGTGCTGGCAGCAAAATGGGGGCTTCATTGCTCTAACAGAGCCCGCCTGAAGCTGGAAGCCAAGCACACCACCACATCTCCTTGGGCACAACCCAAGCAGGGGTGCTGATGGTCCACAGGAACCAAAAAGGCAAAGAAACAGTTGTCAAACAATAAATCCTGAAAATCCCCCTAAAATCAGTGAGAATCTAGCTGCTGGCAATGTCCAGGGCAGCAGCAGGACCGTGTGATGGCCTAGAATTACAATTGAATAGTTACATCTTTTTTCCCCCTCACTTCCTCCTGAGTACTTCCCACTGTATGTAACTACATCAGACAAAAAAAAAAAACCACAGCAGAACAACCCAAAACTTCTCAAGGCACATACCCTCTCCAGTTTTAGAGCACCAAACTCATCTTTTGAACCACAATCATGCTTCCTATTTACATTCTTGTCAAAGCCATGTGACATCTGCATGGGAGAAAACAAGCCGGCTAAGAGTCTGTTTCTGGCAAAAATACTGCAAGGAAATTAGATTAACCTGGGTGGAATTCTATCTGGGAATTTGGAGTCTGTCGTGGTGATTAAGTCATCATTTCTGTCAGATTACTCTAATCGGCTGTCAAATACGATTCCACAACCCCATCTGTAACTTGGCATCCTCGTTATTCAGTCGATGTTACCTTCTGTATACAAAACAAACACCAAACAAGGAGGTGTGTGCAGTCTAGCATTTAGCAGAGTCATTAGCTGTGATTACTATTGTGTGCTTGCACATTGCACGAGGCGAGCAACGTATGGTTTGTTTCATTTAGTCAGGAGATGCTTCAAATCAGGTGTAATCTTTACCCCTGAAGTGATAAGGGTGAGTGGGGAAGAACTGTCTCCAGGCATGGATGAGGATGGGATTGGCATGGTCCAAGTTGCCACTGAGACACCTGCAACTGCTTAAATCTCCTTTCAGAGTCGTCAGTACGTCTGGTGGAAAGGCCTTTGGGGCACCTGCTTTCCATCCATTTTCTGAAGAGAAATTGGCATTCAGATGTTCTGGGTAGGCTAAAGACTTCCTGAGAGCAGTAATTTCTGTGAGTGAAGCAAGGTTTGTAGGAGGAGGCAGTTGGCACTCTAAATGGTCTGTATTGGCTGGTTTCATAAGAGGTATTTTGTTAAACATGTGAGTATGTTAGTCTTACAGAGGACTTTAGTGATTAAAAGCAGGAGCTGCCTTTCAGTGAAGATGAAGGAGCTGATGGGCTCAATTTGCTGCAGCTGTGTTGAGTCTGTGAAATTCGGGTACCCTCAGCACCTCTGAAACTCTGGTCACATAATTAGACTATGAAAAATCATTACTTTATGGTCCATTGCAAAAACACCTTCATATGTGATTATTAAATCCATTAGCAGCTTTTATTCTCCACTCCTGCCACCACAGATGCACATGCCTCACTCCTGTGATTCCTCATGCCTTAAGGAAAGA